CGGTAATGTGATTCACTTTGGCAGTTCTTCTCCGGGAAGGCCTGAAGCTGGTTCCGGTAACTGCTATCGCCGGAGATAGCGATGTCGAAGCCATTGATCGCTCACCTAAAACTATCAAAGCAGAAGGTGAAATGGAAGTTGAGAAATTGAGATTTCGCATAAACTTGTAAAGGTCTTTGGTTGTGTAATGGTTTACCTGACAGAAAGTGGAGATGATGGAGGAGAAATTGCCAATTTGGAGTGTGTGGATGATAATAATATGAGCAGATAGGGAAAGGATAGGGGGTGAGAAGGTGTTTCAATTGGAGTGTTGATTGGCTATGGTGAGCCAATGTTGATTGTGTTATCACCAAATAATTTTGTAAAGATATTACAAATAATTACATTTTTATAAATTATAACGAAAATAAAGATTATTTACATAAACGTGACTAAGGATTAGAATAGTAATGCAATTCTAATAATACGTAGTACTTTGTATATGTTAAATTTTAAACTTAAATTACCATGATAGTATATTATACTCCGTACGTAGTAATAACTATTAGTCATATTTATGTAAATACGTTTTATTTTAATAATATTTTTGAAATAAAATCATACAGAGTACTTTATTCCTCAAAAAATCTTGTTTAGAACTTTCTATTTTATGAATTCCAAAAAACCATATGATTTGATTATTAAGAAAATTAAAGTTATTTAACTAGTGTTTTACCCGGGCGTTGCCCCAGGTGTATGTTTTAGATTCGTTTGATAACGTAGGATATGTGCTTTCAACTATTGTTATGCTACCAATATATTATACCTTACAAAAACGTTCATGATCCTCACGTCTAAAAACCCATCATTTCTACTCTAATATCATCGTCTCTTACCTTAACAACTCATCACTTAGCAATAACTGTTCAATTATTTGTTTTCTATAACCATTTTGATACGAAGTATGTCATTAGTCTCATATTTTTTTGTGAGAAGAAGAACTGAGCAGTTATCTCAAAGATGTGAAGAGTTAACCATCACCATAATCACATTAACTCTCCCTAACTCCCTTCAAGACGATATACACTCTTTGTCTAAAGTCTTCCCACCCCCAAAACAACAATCTTGCTTTTGAACAATATATATGTTCATTACACAAAAAAAAACACACACATTACCCAGGGGGTTGGGGGTGGGGGCCTGTGGTAAACTGAGTTCAAACTCTAAGGAGTATTGAACCTAGGACCTCCCATGCGTGAGAGTGAGTCGGTGATCAGTTGAGCTAAACCGCTTCCTCAATCGTAGAGTGTTCGGTAATATTTATGGGAATAGAAAATCAAATGATAAGTTGAAATTATCTTTGAAAGAAAAAGACATGGATGGATTTTATTTAATATACATGACCAATAACTTTAGACCTCAACATACTTTTGTGATTCCATATATTGGAACAGAATGGTACAAAGTCAAATAGTCAATATATATACTACCACAGTTCATATATAATTCCAACATGTGTAATTTTACTCTAATTGAGTTGCAGGGGCGGACCGTAGTAGAGACCCAGGGGGCTACCGCCCCTCCAACAAAATTTATTTTTATTGTATATATATAAGAAAAATAATTTTCGCCCCTTCCAAAAATAATTTTCGCCCCCCAAAAAATATTTTGAACCCCCCAACATGAATTTCCTGGGTCTGCCACTGTTGGGTTGCATGCCCTACTTTGACTATATCGTATTTATTAATGCATTAGTTTTTTTTAAATATTGCTTTATTCGTTAAATTTGATTTTTCAAAAATCCTTTTTTATAAAATTTTTACTTACAACGAATTATATATTAATAACCAAAGTAGGGAGCATTGGCAAATTAAACGTAAAAATGGATGTGGTATAACTAAAAATGAATGTGAGGAGTATAAAAAAATGAACTTTTCGGAAACATACAATGCTCCATAAGCATGATATGTCATTATTATTTACCTCTGCTGATTGCAATTAGTTATTATAATGTATTAGGAAATAAAAGTCTGGATTCTTGGGATGTTTTTACTTTGACTGCAATTTGCTGGTCTGATTTATTTAAGTTTGGTCTGCTCTGATCTAGTCTGTTTATGTCTAGACGTGATAGACATTTTTGTTTGATAAATATAATTGAGGTTGATATGAAGTATTTGAATAATACTTTGTAGAATAATTTCAGTGGGTTTAAGAGCTTATGGTTTTAAAAAATTTATCACAGGTATATTTTATATATTTGTGGTTATACTTTTTGTTGGTACCTTGAAAAATAATTTGTGGTTGAATTATATGTTCTTAAAAACTTTCTATACATAAACAAATTTTGCATCTATGAGCACATTTACACGGAATCAATGGAATTAAGTACCCCCTCCATCCCGTTAGAAGGTTCCTGTGAACGGTTTACGATGCTTGACCGACGATAAAGCAACTTACAACCATGTTCACACTCTGAATTTTTTAGTTAATAAAAATTTATATATTCAGAAACTACATTAAAATCACTACAAAGCCTGATAAAAAAATGTAAATTTGATATATGAAGCAAAATATTAAAAATGATTTAAGTTGTTCATGAGAATGGTGGACGGAAATTTATCCTTATATTTTTCTGTAGTACATGAATTTGTGCACTTTGTGATCAAATATATTAATGTGTTTACGTTAACATGCATAAATATATTTAACCTTACCTTTGCAAAAATTGGATTGGAATGAGGTAGAATATGTAATATTCCATATTTCAAACTATACTGTATATGGAATGAGATATAAATATACGTAGTATAATTTACGTAGTATATGGAATGTAAAATAAGGCATTATTGATGAGTAATGAATGTGTGTTGAAACGTTTTTTTGTACTTAATAGCAAATATATAACTCATCAATTGTACTCAATAGCAATTAGATAATTGATAAATTGTACTCAATAGCAATTAGTATGAAGGTTGTACTTTATTATTAAGTAAGTAGATTGGTATTAAATTGATAAAACGAGAATGATTGTAGAATCATAATATTATTCAATACAAGATGTGACAAACTTAATGTAGGATCACTAGGATGAAGGAAAAAGAGACAAAGATAGTGTGATAGAAATAATAATACTTGCTATAACTAATGAAAAATATACAACTACAATTAATATAGTTAATAAAATGGTATTCGTATGGAGTACACATTTTTACTTTAATATAGACAAAAACAGATGGACGTAAAAGTAAAAAAAAAATTGTATATATGCAATGTTGTAAAATGTGTGAGACGTGGCAAGGCATCAAGTCAAACTTCAAGTATTTGGAGCCTTAATAAGAATATGCGCAAAACCGTGATAATTACTACTCCATAGTGATATATGGAGTATGAAGAAAGGGGAAAATGTCCTAAATATTATACAAAATTAAGCCTAATTATTACTGTTGGGATATTGGGCTTCGGCCCAATATCCAGCCCAGAATAGGTAAGGGCATAAGGGAGAGAACAAGTCCAGAGAGGAACTTGGTCCAGACTTATGAGAGCCCGAACGGGTAATCAGCCACCAAAGGAAGGACGCTGTTCGGCAAGGCCTGAACGGCCCAATTATCCTACTTGGAACAAATAACAAACATCATCTCTGTCCATCAGTCTGTGGAGTCTAGAGACCGATCGGGGAGTGCGCAAGTGGCAAACTGCATTAAATGCTAGAGTATGACGGTAGAAAGTGGAAGCATGAGTGCTCAAGTGGCAAGACAGCAATCATTCGGATTCGGTCACATCATCACCCCACCTACCCCCTTCTAGTATAAATATGCACATTAATTACATTGTAAAGAGTTAGCATTTTGATACTCAGAGTCTTAAATTATCTCTCTTAGTCTTGTATTAGCTACTGTTCCGAAGCGCCATTCGGCCTATTCTGTGTAATCACCGTTATTACTCTAATACAAGGAGGTTGTTGAGTACGTGCATCTTATTCACATTTTATATTTTACACACCTTTAACACTTAACTCATCGTCCTTGATATGTACAGAGTACTATGTATATAATTTATGCATATATTATATGTATAATTTATTTATAAAAAGTGAAAATATAAATGTATTTCTTTTAACTACTCTGTATTAACTTTATTTATTTTCATTTTTGGTTGTCTCATTAATTTTGTCACTTTTTTTAATTAAGAGTTTGTTGTTCAATTTGATTCTCTTTTCAGTGCACAAATCTCAATCAAACAAGTTTTACTTTACTTTATTAATTAATTATTGTGCTGCTCAAACTTGGGCAAATTTTAAGGACATGAGTATATAATACATTTATAAAAATATTTAAATATGTTTTTAATCCCTACGAATATAGTAAATTTTGTTTTACATTCTTGTAAAATTATATTTTTGTTTTTTCATCCTTGTAATTTATGTTGATTTTCTTTTTAGTCTATCACCGATGATAACAGCCTCCACTTGACTTCAAAATAACTTTGACTAATAGATTTTCTCCCATTCTTTGTCATGTTATTTCAAGAGTATTTAATTGTATTTTTTTTTTACAGAAATTGTATTTTTAGAAGGTTCTTAATATATATATATATATATATATATATATATATATATAATAAAAATATTTAGTTTTGAATTATTTTAATCCTCATATTAGCCTCAAAATAATTATAAAAGGACAATTTTAAATATTTCTAATAGATTTATGTAGTTTACAATAACTTTTTTTCTAAGTAGAACGGTTTCAGAATTAAAGACGGATAAAAGAAAATAGTAAATATTATAGGGATGAAAAATAAAAATAAAAAATTGCAAGAACCTAAATAAAGTGTGTCATATATACAAATATTAAAAATGTGTCATATTTATAAAGATTAAAAATACATTTTGTAGCTCACATCCAAATTGCAAAATAATCTGAAAAAAAGGATGACACCCCATTCCTGAGGGCCCCCAACACCGACCGGACAGGGGAGGATGTAAGTTGGACTATAATCATAGAGTCTCTATGCATTTTTTCGAAGACTCTCCGTCTACCATTGAGCTACGCCCACTGCAAAATAATCTTCTGGTCTAGGCAAAGGGGGCCTCAAAGAAAAAAAGATAAAAGAAGAAGTATAGTAATTTTCTGGAGTACGGACTAACGGAGAAACAGCAACCGGCAACCGGCTTCACAAGCAGCGTCCGCGAGCCACCGCGCACCGTACGAACGCATCGTCGGACTCGCCGCCCGACGCCGACCCGGGTGAACTGTGAGTGAATCTCTGACATCTCTACTTCAGTACTTCTCTCCTTCGTCCTTCTCTTAATATCTTACGGAGTATTACTCTGTCTCGTTCATTTAAATGATGTTCTATCTCTCTTTAGAATTTAGATACTAAACTAAATAGGGAAATACATAAGTCTAAAGATAAAAGCCAGAAGGCCTAAAGCCTTCAGTAGACGGCGGACAAGCACAGAAGCACTCAAGCAGTAAAGGGCAATTTTTTTACTATTCAAGTTAAATTCCTAAATTGTAAAATGTTAAATACAAGTGAATAATTAATTTAAATGATAAAATACATGAAATAATTAATTTGATGGTATTGGTACAAGTAAAGTAGCTTTTTTTTGTTTGAATTGTCTTTGTATTTAGAAGTTTCGGTTTTTTGTTAATTGATTTGTTTGTGATTTTTGTATTATTTATAAATATGTAGGTATTATCTATAAAGTGATATTATTACTGATTTTACACTTCAAATGGTAAGAAGAATGGGCCAATAAGGCGTTACAAGTACAAGTTTGTCATTTGTAGTGTAGTATACACATGTTTGTATTTTAAAACCTATCCTTTTGAATATTAAAAACATTATATCTTGCACTTTGATTATGTTTTTTTTTTCTATATGGTGTTTTTTTATCTGGGGCCTTTGAGTATGTTTTTAAATTTATCCTTTTTAATATTAAAAATATGATTCCTGCATAATAAGTATTTTTCTATTTAGAGCCTCCAAAATGCTTTAGACACCCCTGGTCTCTGTGCATGAGCATTGTCAGGAAGCCAATCTAGGCAACGACCCAGCCCAAATTTAAAAAATGTCTCAAATATTAGTATAAAATATTTTGTGTTAAAGTTTTCAAAAAAAAACTTTGTACTGGCCCTCTGTATGTGTGTCTGTTATTGAGGCTTATCAGGATCTAATTGCTCGTTGGAGCTTAATTGACTCTAATCAAGGTAGTCAAAAGCGAGCGCCTGAGCGCTTAAGCGCACCAGGTGCAGTGCAAATGAGGTTTAGCGACTGAAGACTGGCCACATGCAGCTCCCTGTCTAAAGCGCAGTTTAGGCGCAGAAGCGCTGAAGTGCAAGAGCTGAGAAATGCGCACCTGGGCTGGGAAAGGCTTATCAGCCTATTTTTTGTTTGATCTTACTTTAAACAATAAGCCCATACTGATAATAAGATTTAGCCCGGTCCAAATAATAGGTAAAAACAACTTAAACCCATATTAAACCCTTCTTAGTCATGGGAAAAGTCTTCTATCTTGAGTCTTGACTTCATCGTGACTCTCCTATGCTGCTATGGGCTCTACTTGCGCGACATGTTCAGCACTGAAAGTCTGAAACACATTCAACGAACCCACAGAAGCCAGAAACCCATAAGGTGTCTTCTTCATCATCATCTTCCCATGTTCTTTCTTCTTTCTTTTTCAGCTTGTAGTTTTCATTTATTATGTCATCTTCTTGGTGACCCTTTCATTTGAAATTATGTGGTTGATATGAATTGATAAAATATTAATAAATTTTATAAAATAAGAATGAATGAGAATCACACAAGTAACACCAAATATGGCAAGACACAAACTTAGCAAGACGGATAAAAAAGGAAAATTAGCTGGATATCACACAGGTAATACATGCAATGATACAATGTTCATCGTATGCATGAGTAACTTCTGCCCCTACTCTAACGCTCCCATATAGAGCATAGTGTTTTTGTATTTGGCACCATATTCTTTATCCAATTTGGCATTTTTCTCTTCTCTTTCCTCAGTGTTACACCATAGATCATGACATTGTATACATTATTTTCTCTTGCTCAATAGAAACTCTTGCGTAGCCTGACCTATTAAAGTTGATAAGAAACATTTACATTTACTTGCAGGCTGAAGGTAACATGGCAGGAGTCATAACAAATTTCTTTATCGCATCTTTGTTTATGTGGGCAGTTCCTATTGCAATTCTTTATGGTTTCAATCATAATTTATTTCCTGGTAAGCTTTCTTCATATTTATGCTGTAGGCCATTATAAATAGATGCTATTTAGATTTAATTTATTAGTTTGGAAAATATCGATTATAGCTTCTTTGCATTACTTTTAATTTATTAAAAATCCAATGAGAGCCATCTTTGGTCATTGTGGCATCAGCTTAGTTTTTGTTTCATATGGAACAGGTATGACTGACTTCTCTCCGTACTCTGTAACGCTGCTCAGTGGGTTTCTAGCTGTCATTTCTGTCAACGTTGTTATAGCATTTTACATTTACATGGCAATGAGAGAAAGCTCAGAGAAGCATGAACCGGATCCTAAATTCCTTGCAGATGCCAAGGCTAGTAGTGTCAGCCTCAGACAGGATGGTCAGGGTGATACAAATGATTCATCAGCAACACACTCAAAAAATGAATAGGTAACTTAATCAAAACCCACTACTAACTTTAGTTCCCTGTTCCTAAAGTCCTGAATTGCAACACTGATAAATGATGGATCTTAAAAAAATGCTGTATAGTTGTAGGTTCTTGTTCAATACTTCTAGTGTGGAAAGTGTTGATTACAATCAAACTTGTGAACTTGTGGTTAGGTTCCATGCTCCACTCACTGTGCCACCACTTCTAGAGAATCTGGGGAGTGGTTCTTATGAGAGCACCTGTTATGATGTTATCATAAGCACATTTTCATAAATGTGAACTTTCAATCCCCATCCAGTGTTCTAGAACTCGCTAGGCGCTAGTCGGACGGATGAGGGGCACCTAGAACCTAGACATCGACTAGGGGCCGATTAGGCCGGTTTTTTGGCTGATTAGTCCTCCACAGTTATGTAATGCTTAGCGCCTAGGTGCCGATTAATCGGACCGACTAGGCTGATTTTTAGAACAATGTCCCCACCTATCATTTATTAACCTTGTTTATGTATTTCTTTATCCATTTACCTTGTAGTTATTTTAGAATGATTGCAAACAAACTTCCATATGAGTTTAGAAATAGTTACAGAAATGCCACTCTATGAATGTGAGCCATTGACTAAAAAATGAAAGGTGGAGATTAAAAGTTTCCATTATAAGATGTGGTTATGGTTAAAGTTGTTCTCATTGCCAGTGACAATTGCCATTACCTGCTATGGTGCTGTATGATTTTGGATGCTTGTAATGGGGGGAGGGGGTGAACCCTGATTGGAGTGCTATTTCCAGGCACAACCTTTGCCAACTAGACCACCTCATTCATTATTGTGCTTTAGTACAAGGGTAAGTCTGCGTACATCCGACCCTCCTTACCCCACCGTAGGTGGGACTGTGGGAGCCTTTGCGGCACTGGGGTAATGGTGTGATGATGATGTTGTCATTTTTTTTGTTCTTTTACATTCTATATGGTGTTATTATACAAATTTAATTAGAAAGACATACTTTGTTTCTATTTATGTGATAGTCTGAAGTCTTCAACACACCTACTTTGTGTTAATTTATTGACACGTAGAATAAGGAATCCATATTCTTTGATAACTTTTTCCATCCGGCCTGCAAGTCCATAGATGGAGATTGGAGGAATATTCTTATTTCTTACAAACATAAATTTACCTTAGTTCTTGTGATATATGCTCAGGTATTCAGGTGTATATTATATACTGAGCGCAGTTCCTATTCTTTTCATTTTAAGACTGATATTAATTATTCTTTTGAGTAATCAATTAAGTTAATCACAGAAAGAAGAAAAGCATATAACTTTAGCCATTAAATGCCAGAGTAATATTGCACCTGTTCAGTATATATATATATGTCAGTAATCAAGATAACCTTCCCTTTCTGTTGATATATACAAATCTCTCCCTCTCTCTCTCTCTCTCTCTCTCTCTCTATCTATCTATTACACACTGACATATTTTGTTGCCATGTATGATATATGACATGTTCGTTTGCCATATAATAGGTTGACATTATGAACAACGAATATTAAGGACAAGGGATAAGGGGTGCTACTGCAGTGTTGGTTGGATCTATTGTACTGTGTTCAGTGTGTTGATTTCTGAGGGATTCGCAAAGCCGTGCACGAAGAGTTTGGAGAGCTGTGTTTTTCAAATTTCAACATGACTGACGACTGCAGCTTTATTCATCATATTGATTTCGTGTATGAAGATTGTCCTAGAAAGAACCACTTTGTTTTTTAACATAAATTGTGCCCCCGTGCAAAGTTTTTGAACAAAGAAAGATGATTAAAAACCAGTGCTTCCCTTCCAAAAAAGAAATCATTATTTGAGGTCCTGTGTATGTCATCTTTTAGGTTGTTGCTTATGAATGGTGATGAACGTGTAGCTCTTCTTACAGTTTATATTATTAAATGAATGAAATAGTTATTAATATTATTATAATTGTGGTTTCTATACATTGATCTTAACAGTAGTCCATAAAGCATATCCATACATGTCTATCCCACCGCAAGACCTATGAAATTGAGGAAATGCAAAAGTGAATAAGTAGTAGCCTAGTAGGTGTTTACAATATTGAGCATCCCTTCAAGATGGATGATGGATGCAGGATGACAAGCCAGGTAGAAACTTGAGATCTGAGCATGTAGAATACCGATTGATCGATTCAGAACCAGACCCCCATGTGTATCTTACCAGACAAACATTCTAACACTAAATAACTCCCACAGTGATGGAGACATCAAAAGGGACTCGAACCACTCAATGTCAATGTGCCAGAGGAAAAACAAATGAACTTCATCCCAACCGACTGGACACTGAGGAGTGAGGACTAACATTTTATTTCATTCTAGGTGGAAGGAAACTAAGACATGGGTATGTCGGTGGGTAAATCAGTAACTACAAAGTACAAACACGACCATCAACTTCATATTATCATGCCATCATTGATAGAAATAAAAAAGAAGAATTGAATGCTTCAAACATCAAACCCCAAGTGAAACATTTAGTGGTTGTTTGCAGGCCCTTTTTCCTACTTGCAATTCAGTTTCTCTGTTAGCTGTTAACTGATCTTCCCAATTTTTCTGTCACGTTTTGAAAGTTTGGACAAGGGAAGAGCTAGAAGGGCTATGTTTTTCAACAATCTTAGGGTATGTTTGGTTTGGGGTAATCCCACACGAAGGCCGGAATGTGATGCACGGAATGTCAGATATCCAAGTTTGGTCCACGGGTTTGAGAAAAAATCGGGAAAGTTACATTCCCGGGAATGTAATATGGAGGGGAATCTTATAACCACCCATCCCTTAGGTTATTTTACATTCCCGATGATGGTCTAATTTTCTTCCGAAAATACCCTCAATTAATTATCTTCTTTCATTTAATTTCTTTATATAGTGCGATTTTATAAAACTTTTAATGTAGTTTCTAAATATGTAAATTATATTTACTAAAAAATAATCTTATTATTGAAAGAGATCAGTTAATTTTATGGTCAGTCGATCGTAGATTGTGTGACAACCATTTAAGCAGGACATATGGAGTATGTTTATTTAATTATATTCGAATGTCTATTCTTGTTATTTTCATAATTCTTTTTTCCGTAACATTTAAATTTTTTAAGGTATTTATTTTATAAGACTTGTAGATTATTTAAGTTTTTGGTGAGTGGATTTCAAAATTTAATGGCAAAATTGATCATTTTTTCTTTAATTTGAAAAGAAGTTTTATGAATAACTTGTACATTTTTTAAATTTAACTTTTTTGAAATAATAATAAATATATTTAGATTGAACAAAGTTTTTTTCACTTTTGAATTGTACCTACAACTTTTAAAAATTAAACATAGTTTACTTAAAAATAATTCAATTAGGTTTGATTTTATTTATTATTCAGATATTTCATTATTTCTTTAATTTTAATTACTTTCGATGTAGGTTGTAATAGATTTATTGTGTTAAGATAAAATATTTAAAGGACATTGAAGTAATTCACCATATCTCTGCAATATAAGATATCTCATACCAGCCGGTTGCCCACATCAAGTTAGAAATTTAAAGTCATGATATGCATTAAAGTTGCTGCTGACTTTGTTTCTCCTGAAAGTATTCCTGAATGCATTAGATTGACTGAGGAATACCATACTCTTCCCCAGAATCGTTGGGCCAAGAAAGATAAACTGGAGGTAAAAAAAAAGATCATTTATGCAGTGAAAGAAGCTCTGGATGATCTTTGGGAAGGTATTTTATAGGGTCGATGAGTAATAGATGATGTAGATAAGGAAGAAGCAACAAAGCATTTTCTGTCTGGAGATGGCTTTCTTTGTTGGTCAGCTGCTAATCATTTTCTTTGTTTAATGACAACTTATCGAAGGAGAGCTCAGATGTTTTTCTACCATGCTGGAGTGTCCTTTATTCTTTTTTAGCATTGTTAAATAAGAACGGGTCAATTTATTGCATACATTCATAACAAATGAATACATGATGTCAAGCAAAATAATGGTGAAATAGCCACTGCAATTTCTTATGTAGATATTCGGAAAATGAATTAATAAATTACCATTAGTTTATGGATCTCATTATGCTTTAATTTTCCACAAAAGTGAGGTCGACCATTGGCATGGACATTTCCCATCTCTTCGGATTCTTTACTTAACAGCTTGTCCACATAATACCAGTTGGGTGGCTGATCTCTTATAACTCAAAAAGCGATCCCCATCTTTGGAATGGAACGAAATTCGACATTTAACATTTTCTTGCGGACTACACGAAAGTGGACTAACTTTTATGTTTTTGCAAATTTTATTAGAGATGCTTAAATAATCACATAAAAAGAAAAAGATAAGATCTTCCATAGTTGAGCAAAGCCTGCTCGACACTTGCGCGTAGCCTGCTCGGTACTTGCACGAAAAGCAAGGTTGGGTATGTGTATTTTCTCTCTAAGGAATTTTGTAGACACGATTGAGAATGAGAATGTGCTTTAATATGGTAAAATAGCGTCAAATGTTTTTTATATAAAAACGAGGAAAATGCAATTATATACTACTAGTCTTTGTTTGTTCTCGTCATGTCCTGTAGTTCCAAAGAAGTGAGAAAGACGGACGAATTACTTTGACCTTCCCTATCTCTTTGAATGCTTTGTTCAACGGCTTGTCAATGTGAAGGTGCTTTAATATGGTGTAATAGCCTTACTTGACTGCTGAGCATAAAAGGAGGCTAAAGGAAGAATACGGGATTGAACCATGGACCTTCGTTCAAAAATTAGGAGATGCTGTTCTCCTACCAGCCGGCTGCCCACATCAAGTTAGAAATTTAAAGTCATGCATTAAAGTTGCTGCTGACTTTGTTTCTCCTGAAAGTATTCCTGAATGCATTAGATTGACTGAGGAATTCCGTACTCTTCCCCAGAATCGTAGGGCTAAGGAAGATAAACTGGAGGGAAAAAATAGATCATTTATGCAGTGATAGAAGCTCTGGATGATCTTTGGGGATGTATTTTATAGGGTTGATAAGTAATAGATGATGTAGACAAGGAAGAAGCAACAAAGCATTTTCTGTCTGGAGATGGCTTTCTTTGTTGGTCAGCTGCTAATCATTTTCTTTGTTGAATGACGACTTCTCGAAGGAGAGCTCAGATGTTTTTCTACCATGCTGGAGTGTCCTTTATTCATTTTTAGCATTGTTGAATAAGAACGGGTCGATTTATTGCATACATTCATAACAAATGAATACATGATGTCAAGCAAAATAATGGTGAAATAGCCACTGCAATTTCTTATGTAGATATTTGGAAAATGAATTAACAAATTACCATTAGTTCATCTTGCAAAAAAAAAAAAAAATTACCATTAGTTCATGGATCTCATCATGCTTTAATTTTCCACAAAAGTGAGGTCGACCATTGACATGGACCTTTCCCATCTCTTCGGATTTTTTATTTAACAGCTTGTCCACATAATACCAGTTGGGTGGCTGATCTCTTATAACTTAAAAATCGATCCCCGTCTTTGGAATGGAACGAAATTCGACTATTAACATTTTCTGTGGACTACACGAAAGGGGACTAACTTCTAAGTTTTTGCGTAATTTATTAGAGATGCTTAAATAATCACATAAAAAGAAAGAGATAAGATCTTCCATACTTGAAACAGTAATTGAGCAAAGCCCGCTCGACACTTGCGCGTAACCTGCTCGCAGGGGCGGATCTAGGATTTCATGTTGGACTGGGCTGAAAAACTTAATTTAAAAATTTTCAAAATAAGCAAATATATATATATATATATATATATATATATATATATATATATATATATATATATATATAAGAGTTCTCCACTAAATTTGTTCTCGACGAAGCTTTGAAACAAAAAAACTCGTCAATCATAGAGTCTACATCTATACTAAGAGTATGACCTTTTTCAATATAAAGTGTATTGCAATTAACAAAAAAGTCATCATCCATTTTGTCGCGGAGTGTTGTCTTTAAAAGTTTCACGGCAGAAAATGATCATTCTATTGTTGTAGTGAAAACAATTAGATCAATACAAAGCGAATCAATATGCTGATCATAACATATGAAACAGATCTTTTGCTCTTAGTCAACTGCTCACATAATTCAACAGGTGTAGATACTCGAAACTTTGTATCATGAATCACATCATGAGCATAGTGTTGTTGCTCGAATTCAAAAGCATTAATAAAACCTTCGGGATAGAACTTCCTTGCAAGAGATTACAAATAGCATCGACATTGAATGACACATGTGAACTTTCGGGATCCAATGAAGCACTCAAAGAAAGGAGTTTGATCCATTGATTTATCATCAAACCGAATCCTTAACTTCAACAATACAAAGTCTATTGCCTCATTGAAAACATCAAAGTGATAATGAATGCTCAACTGCAGTTTCTTTTCGGCAATGACCAACCATATATTTAGAATTCAATTTCGGTACAAGAATTTCTTTTTTGAGCAAAACTCCTTTGCTTCTTCAAGAAAGCCTTCACATCCATTTTATGTCACTTCCCCGAGAATGAGTTGTGTAGTAGAAACATGTCTCATTGCTATCAAGATATCCAATAATTTTTTGAAGTTCTTGACAAAGAATACTCGTTATATCAAAAGTGAATTGAATACAAATTCAAAACATGGAAAATGTCTATATACACTATGAACTTCTGCCCAAAAACTCACTTTTGGGCAATGTTCTTGAATATACTCAAACACTTTACAAGTTGATGTGAATCATAGTTGAATCATATTTTATTTTATTTATTACATTTATTCCTTTTGGGCTTTACGGCCCTTATACGATGTACAAAAGTGCCTCTTGTTAAGTGGGAGGTAATTCGTATAACATTTAGATTAGATTTTTAGATGGAATGATTTTGTTTTATGGGTTGGGCTGAAAAATTGGATTGGGCTATAGAAAAATTTGGGCTGGGCTGGATAGAATTTTGTGAAAATAATACCTTAAAAAAATTAATTTTTTTTAGTTTGCCCTGGGCTTCAGCCCACCATAGCCCTAACATAGATCCTCCCCTGCCTGCTCGGTACTTGCACAAAAATCAAGGTTTGGTATGTGTATTTTCTCTCTAAGGAATTTTGTAGACATGATTGACAATGAATGTGATTTAATATTGTAAAATAGCGTAAAAAAGTTTTATATAAAAATGAGGAAAATGCAATCATACACTACTAGTCTTTGTTTGTTCTCGTCATGTCCTGTAGTTCCAAAGAAGTGAGAAAGACAGACGAATCACTTTGACCTTCCCTATCTCTTTGAATTCTTTGTTCAACGGCTTGTCAATGTGAAGGTGCTTTAATATGGTGAAATAGCCTTACTTGACTGCTGAGCATAAAAGGAGACTAAAGGAAGAATACGGGATTGAAGCATGGACCTTGGTTCAAAAATTAGGACATGCTGTTCTCATACCAGCCGGCTGCCCACACCAGTTCTTAAATTCAGTCAATTTTTATAAAAATAGCACTGTTTGGATTATTATATGAATAAGGCTTAGTCTGAAATAAATCTACTGAAACAAAACACTGAGATATTTAACGTTTATATTCAGCTATCCGCACAACAACTTGCAATCCCTTAATTAACCCTCCGATTTACCGCTTTACCGATTTCCTTCCGTGCAGTTATAACTTATAATCTCAACCCACAACTCATTTTTTCACTGCTTTAAATCATCTTTTCACCATACATATCTTCTCTTATGGTTTCTCCTACTACAGTTTCTACTTCGCGTGGTTTCTCCTTCGCTATTCCATCACTATTTTTTGGTTTGGGAATATGATGTAATAAAGCAAAATAGCTCAATAAACTATCCATCATATTCATCTGTACTTGGGAATATGATGGAATAAAGCAAAATGTGTCACTAAACTATAATAGGAAGAAACTGTAGTAGTAGCAATCAGTAGAGCTCTCAACAATAGTGGGAGTGGCTGAGTTGGCACGTCCAGCACTAGTTCCACGTCTGCCCCTGCCTTTTCTTTCTGCAGATGAGGATAAAGTTTCCAGCATGTATCCACATTATGATTAGACCGCTTGCAATGATCACACCATCTTCCTCCCTTGCTACCATTAGTTTCCTTAACATCTGAAGAAGTAGATCTGGCAGCAAGGGCCGTACTGTCAATTAGCTTTGTATTCATCATTATATTGCGTCTACTCTCTTCATGTTTGATAGTGGCAATGGCAGAAGATAGGGCAGGCAGAGGAGTAATGCCCAGAATTTGAGCCTGAGTCTGATCGTATTCGGGATTTGAACCAGACAAGAAGCAACATAGACGTTGTTGATTTATATAGTTCTTGTGAAGAGTTGCATCTGCAGCATTCGACCACTTCATTGTTTTTTATACTGGTCAAGTTCAGACCATCATCATTGGAGGTCAGTAGCATATTTTGTGACAGATCGTGAATCTTGCTTAAGATTCGTTGTTTGGAGCCATAACTCATAGACAAAAGCGCCATCTTTAGCAACGTAGTAGGACTGCTTTATGAAATCCCACATAACCAGACCCATATGTTGGCATTGGTTTTCTCTCAAATAACAGCATCAATATCTCCTTCTGGTGTAGAGACAGTGAGATAAACTTCAAGATCTTTGCCACGTAGGAGAGTGTAAACCAGCTTTGACCATCCAGGATAGTTCCTGCCATTGAGACAGTAAGATGGCGGGATAGAAGGGAGATCAAATTTCTGGTTTCGAAGAGCAAATGCAGCTGCAGTAGCAGCTGAAACGATGGTTGAGTGGTCAAGGTGACTTGAGGTTGATTCAGTTTCTTTAGACATGTTAGAACCCTTGGTGAGAGACTCACACCAGAAGATTAAACAGATAGGCGGGTAGAGACACACAAGAAGATTGCTGGAGAGATGATGAACTGTGAAAAGACTTATACGAGATTCAGCTTTGACACCATGAAGTTTTCTGTATATTATTATTGATTGATCTACCTTTTACAAGAAGTAGACCTATATATACTGACTCAAGCCTGGAAGTGTCTACTCAGTACCCTAGGTAATTGTCTCAATACTAAACATAAATGAATACAAACTGAAAAGACAACAAGTATAAGTTACAACCTGAAGCACTAAAGACTCAGAATTACAGTAATAATATGGAAAGTAAATCCTAGACTAATAATGTCTCTTCGTTTTATCAACACTTAAATGTATAAATTTGGTAAGCGCACATCTACAACTTACAGGACAAATATAAATATGGAACTAGAGCAAATGATTTTATCCGCTATGCTTCACTTAATTCTTCGCACTGAATCCACACAAAGCTCGCACAAAGCCCGTGTATGGTATGTGAGTTTTCTATTAAAAGGGATTTAATAGATACAGTCTATTAAACTAATTATAAAATCCTAGATGATTTTCAACAAACGATATTCAGACAACTAAGCACATCAAAACAGATAAATCTTAGATATAAATCATTGAATTAATTTACAGGAAATCATTAAATCTTAGATATAAATCATTGAATTGTAAGCATAAAACCACCTGTAAAAGCCAAGTATTCTCTTCTGTCAAACTAGGCTCATGTGTAAACAAACCAGAAGTCCTAAAGAGAGCAGATGTAAAACCTCTGAATCATACGTTTAACATCTGAGGGCTGTCAAGGACCATGTGACGGCTGTCATGTTTTACCGCTAAGGTGGAGGAGAGGCTTACTTTGTTCTGTTTATAACTTTTTACTTTTTGTTTCATAACTTGGAGCACGGTTAGGCTCCCCTCTAGTCTACGGGTGAATACCGTTAAATACAGATATACCCCACTTCGTAGTTTCACACACCAAATATGTTTAACTATTTCGTTTTATGTATTTCTTTTTGGGTCAAATTCATTCTAGGTTAGCTCATCATATAAATATAAACAGTCAAGTATATAACCGATAGATGCACCACAGTCATTGGAAGAAGGATATTTTGTACTAAATCTTTTAAATTCTTTATCTCTACTGCATGATCTGAGGTGTAAAACTTAACTCTCAGCGATACTGTGTTATTCAAAAATATGAAAAGAAAAGTAAACGATCATTTTTGGCACAAAAGTTGATATGGAAAAAAGGAAAAAGATCTGATATGATTTGCTTGACCACATTCTGCAAGGAGTCCGCACGTGTAGAATCCGAGAATGGAATGGGATTTTCTTATTGAAATAGACTCCATTTTGTTAAGCTAGTGGAAAATAACGAATACTGGTAACTTTGAGGGAACAGCTCTAGCAAAGGAGAGGCTGATCCTTAAACATCTTTTTTTATCAAGCAAACTAAGATTTAGAGGTTCTCCCATAGAAAATGATGACATTCCATCCCTGAGAGCCCTAGAACTGGCTGGGCAGTTATCTGGGAGGATGTAAATTGATCTTAAATCACAAATGAGTGGAAAGAGAGTGAGGTTCAAGCCCAAGTCTTTGCTTCAAGTTGAACCTGAGACCTCTCCTTTGTGGCACCCTCTTGCGATCAGGTGAGCTACGCCCCCGGCAATTGAAAGAGGAGTACCTGCAAGATCTTATGAACTTGATCCTGCTTGTTTACCCAAAAATCCTGACAATCTTTGGTAAACGGTACCTACGCGAAGGTGTGAACACATATTTTGACCTAGACGAAAGTTCAAGGGCTATGGCAAAACTATAAACCTAGGACCCCCTATAAGTATTGCTACATTCTTGCTTAAAGCATCACCAAACTAATTCATATGAAAATACATCATCAAATTAATTCATACAAAACACATATGGAAGAAGATTTTTAAAACTGTAGGAAGCGAAGTGACTAAGCTAACCCTGGCTTCCACCTACTCTGCACATGCTACCAATATTTTGCATAATTGCCAAAGTTGAATTGGATTCCCATTAATACCCGAAATCGGTTACTACAGTAGAACATTCACCAGAATGCTTTCTAACGTAACTATTGCAATCATCATTGATAATAAAAGCAGATAGTTTTTTTTTGAATAAAAAAAGCAGATAGTTTATGCCTCATGGTTATAGTAATAAATTGAAATAAAAATTAAAATCCTTAAAAAACTATTGTTATGAACCTTCATTACTTTTTCAAGATATGTCTAAATTAAAGATTCAAAGCACACGAATCTACAGTTTTTAAGCCTTTTATTATGTTGAATGGGACTATGGAAGTAAACAACTTCAACTTGCATTGAGAAAAGCACTTACCCGAGTGTTTTCTTCAATGGTGTGTGCAATCATTCATGGTGTTGCTGAAAACTGAAGTCTTTCTTCACTGCAGGCTGAAAGATCAAAGATGTTGACTCTTCTCTCCTGCATCTGCGTGTTACTATCTTCTATGATGGAATTCTTCTTCTCAGAGCATGAGCCAGCAAGCCCAATTCGCCCTACTATCCCCTCTTCTCCCACCTCATCTATTTATTGCAAACGATTTTTCAACTACTTGTTCATTCTGTGACTGTGACGTGTTCATCTGTTGGCTCACCTTATTTAACTACACTTTCCTTATATAATGCGGTGAATTCAAAGTTTCTTCATAATAAGGTGAAGCAAAGTAGGAGGAGGAATAAGTTGGAAGTGTTTAGGCCGGAGGGACGGAGATGGGTAAAGGACAGGGTTCAGGTTTGGGAGATAATTACGGCATATTGTTCAAATTTTTTCTGTTTTGAGCAGGGATAGATCTTAAATTCTTAACCCAGTTTTACAGGGAATTGCCCATAATCATGGGCATGAACACAAGAATTTTTGTAAAATAAAATACGGAGTATATATAGCTCAGGCATTTTATTTTGGGAAAAAGGACAAATAAGCTCTTGAACTAACTAAAAAGTGCAAATCACCTCTTATTAGGAGGTTATGTCCGGTCGTTGTCGTTTGGAGCGGTTTCCGGTGGAATTTGTTGATGAAATTTTTTGAGCATCTTCTTCATTATGTCTAGCTTACCCATACCAAATTTCAACTAAAAATAAAATCAGGAAGGAAGTCAAATGATTTTCTGAAATATACTGGGCTGTTTAACTTCATTTGTCTTCCCTTTTATTTTAGGCAGAGAGGGACACAGTTCCCACTTCCCACCAAAACTAACCAAACCGATTTCTTTGTTTTTGCTGTAATAAGGGAGGATGATTCGACCTCCTACTGGCACTAACAGTTGCATTTCCCGGCAACATAGCTCCAACGTAAGATTTGGTGTTCCTTGCGAGTCCAATCTTAACAACCGTTCATATGCTTCAATCCTGAAAGGGCTGAAGCAGCGAAAACATATCCTACAAATACACGCCAACCTACTGACCTCAGGCCTTTGCAGGAACATCTTCCTTTGCAATAGCTTATTGAACTCGTATGTTAGTTCTGGACATGTAGGGGATGCGCAGAAACTGTTTCCTCGAGTCGTGGGTAAAAATATATTTTCTTGGACAATATTGATCTCGGGGTTGGTAAGAAATGATCGTTTTCTCGAAGCCACCGTGGCTTTTTTTGAGATGTTTAATTATGGGATAAGGCCTAATGAAATTACGATATCCAGTATTTTGCCTGCTTTTGGGGAACTGGGATCGACTCTGGTGGGAAAATCAGTTCATTGTTATTGGATTAGGCAAAATTTTGAAAATAACGTTTATGTGCAAACAGCATTGGTAGACATGTATTCAAAATTTGGGTGTGCTGTTAGTGCAAGAAACACGTTCGATAAAATGTCAGAAAGGAACATCATTTCCTGGAATGCCATGCTTTCTGCTTATTCAGACAATGGATTTGGCGAGGAGGCCCTTCAACTGTTTAGTTTGATGAGAAGGGAGATGGTATCTCCGGATGCCCTAACAATCATGAGCTTAATATCATCATCCTTGTTTATCTCAGGAAAAATAAGTGGAGTCCATGCTATAGCAGTTAGACTTGGGTGTGATGATGATCTTCTCAAAACTGCTTTAATGGATGTGTATGTAAACCTTAACTATATTGCGGAAGCTTACTCTTTATTTCTTGAATTGTGTAAGCGGGACATAGTTGCATGGACATTGATGTTAACAGGCTTTTCAAGAATGGGAAACTGGAGTACCACCATTCAATACTTCAACATGATGATGGCTTCTCAAGATGAAATGGTTCTTGATTCCGTTTGTTTAACTAGCATCATTTCTTGCTGCAGTCGTTGGGCAGCTCTCCAACAGGGCAGGCGAGTGCATGGGCTAGCAATAAAAACTGGCTTTGAAGCTGATGTATTTGTTGGATCAGCCATCATAGACATGTATGCCAACTGTTCCAAATTGAACGATGCGAGAAGTTTTTTCGAAATGATGGAAAGAAAGGATGATGTCACTTGCTGGAATGCATTGATTTCTGGAAACGCGATGCATGGCTATGGAAATGAAGCAATCAAGCTCTTCATGAAGATGGAGATTTCAGGTGTGACTCCAAACGGTTCAACCTTAGTCTCTGTCTTGTGTGCTTGTAGTCATGCCAGGATGGTTGACCAGGGCCTTCAGATTTTCAACAGTATGGTTGAGAGTTTGAACATTGTTCCCAACCATAAGCACTATGCATGTGTTGTTGACCTTCTTGGTCGTGCAGGCCGGTTGAACGATGCTTATTCGATGATTAATAACAACATGCATTTGCAGCCCAGTCTTGAAGTTTATGGCGCTTTATTAGCTGCTTGTAAGATCCATGGAAATATTGAAATAGGGATTAAGATCTCAGAGAGGCTTTTTGAGCTGAACCCAGACGATGCAGGTTATTACGTGCTTCTGTCAAATATATATGCCTTTCTGGGGAACCAAAATGGTGTAAAGATGACCAGATTGGTACTCAGATCAAAAAATCTGAAGAAAGAACCAGGTATGAGTTTGATTGAGATAAATGGAGAAGTATACAGGTTTCTTGCAAGTGAGAAGGATCATCCTTTATATCCTGAGATATCCGATTCCCTGAAGGATATGATGTTGAGAATAGAAGCAGAAGGTCATGTTCCTGACATGAACTGTGTGTTTCAGGATGTAGAAGGTTTTGTTAAAAAGGACATATTGAATCACCACAGTGAAAAGTTAGCTATCGCTTTAGGATTAACAAGAACAAAGACTGGTACAATGTTAAGGGTGACGAAGAATCTTCGCATCTGCAATGATTGCCACTCTACATTCAGGTTCGTTTCCAAGGTTTTTGGAAGGGAAATCATAATTAAGGATTCAAATTTCTTCCATGTGTTCCGAGATGGCATTTGTTCATGCATGGACTTCTGGTAAAACAGAGTTTGGCAAAGTTTATAGTCTAGAGCCTGTAAATTATTAGGGTTCCATGTGGTATCCATCTCTGGATTATTTTGCATGTGAGCAACAGAATAAGCAATATAAGTAGCCTTTGAATTAGATGTGGCTCAAATAGATGTTACCAAACATTTTCCTTCTTTTTAGCAGTTTCTGCTATTTTAATCAAACAGGCTCCTATTGTGTATAAATGCATTTACAGCCAAATGAAAGTACTCCATACTACAAAAAATGAATTTTATATGTACTTGTAATACAGGCTCTAATTTGGATCATGTAGCCAACCGTGTTGATTTGTGCCTAATTTACATTTGTACAAGATGTGAGCAGGTATAGAAAACTCTTATCTCACACCCAAGAAAGAATTTTGGTGTAAAAATCCTGTTTCTGACCTAAGGAGTTGGATGGTCCACTGGTTTACAACAGCAGTCTTGTAACTTTATCCACTGGTTTACAATAGCAGTCTTGTAGCTTTGATTTGCATTGCTTCTCTAGGGATATTCACAAAGACAACAATCTCTTGGTCAAATATGTTATTATCACCTTCACAAAAGGTTGGTCATAGTTGCCATTTTTTCGTTTAGTAAAAACTAAACTAATGAAACTATGGCAGTATGATCCTTATGCAGGTTGAGAATGCATCTTTTCATGGATATCCTTCACAATATCTCGTAACTCTGGAAAGATTGACACGAGCACAAGTTCAAGAATTGCATAAGCCACTTGTTTTAAGCATATGGTAGACTGCAATTCAAAATTTAGTTTACGAGTAGTCAGTTCTAACAAAACCAAAAGGAAGAAAAGTTTATCCAATAAAACAGCAATGCTCTGTTTGGAGCTCAGAAAATGATTTTTCCTTTTTTTGTTTTAACTAGGAAAACTAAACAATGTAAAAACTCTTTAAAATGTTACACAAATTTAGATCTCTTAGTCTTTATATAATAGAAATATATAAATAAAATGAGTTTGAACGAATATCTAAAAATAATAAAATTGATTTTGAAGCAATCTATTAACAGTATCTTTCCATTGCATTTTACCCTAATTTTTTACACTACCATTTTCCAAGTTCCAAATAGACCCTAATAGTTCTTTAGAGACAAGAAGTTAGGCGAAGGAAATCATACCTGAAGGAAGTAGTAGATATCTCTAGCACTACGTCTGTACTGCTTTTTCCCAATCAAGCTGACTAAAGCACTAGGGGCAGTATCTGGAATTAGTATTAGATCATTTAAAATAACATTAGCCACGATGGACACTCAATAGGTTGTCTACTTTCTAAAGGTAGAAGGGAGAGAAGTATTCTACATTTGGATTGTCATTACGGCCCACGGCTATTTAATAAATCGACTTCACACTTCACTATGGCCATTTAAGTGGGAATCAATTTTGTTCACCCCTCGACCTCAAAGGAGGGTGATGTTCAACCCTCCATGGTTGCCTGACATGTGTGGCATGGCAACTCTTTTTTTTGGCAATTGTTATAACATTATTGTTCATAGTCCAATTTTAAAAAAATATCAAATTTTATAATTTTTTACTCTGTCTATCCGTCAAAACTTTGTCAAGTTCGATAAAACAGAGAATAATAAAGTAAAAACTGTGTGATTAAGGTTCGTTAAGAGAAGAGAGAAATAATAGGAATCACAAACTAATTAATTAAAAGGGAAAGTGACAAAGTTTTTGGGACAACAAAAAAGGGAAAGATGACAAAGTAATAATGGACGGAGGGAGTATGATCTTTCATATGGTACCAATATTGCACATGTAAAATTTAAAAAAAATAGCTAAAAATAGAAATTTAGAAAAAAAGAGTTTTTATTCAATCTTTTATATGCAATATTGGTACCATTCGACAGATCATGAAAGATTATTAAATATGATATATTCTTTTAAAAAAATGGACCATAAATAAAAAAGTTATATGATATGAAGCGGGAAGAGCATGGGGCGGGACCGGGCTTGGGCCCACTCCCGTGGGCCGGTTACGGGCTGTCCTTATAGTTATTTATTATTTTTAAATTAATGTTATGTTCTGTTTTGGGCCTTTTATTAGTAGAGTACTTAGTAGAGTTAGTATGGGCCTAATTAGGATTTAATTAATTTGGGCTTGATTAGGGTTGCTTGTAGAAGGCTATTTATACTCCTCGCCAGGGTTCATTCTTATTATCTTGGAATAAAAGTTGGTTTAGCCTTTTGGCTCTGGGCAACGGTATTTATTTATTGTTGATTATCTAGGCAACGGTTCACCCCGTTGATTTTATTTTTCTGTTCACAACATTATAACAATTAAAAAACAGAATTGACATGCCACATAGCAAGCAGGGAGGGGGGTGAGCATCACCTTCCTTGAAGGGGTAAACAAAATTGGACTCATTTAAGTGCAAGTGGTGACGGGTGGAATAATAGATGTTTCTCTTTCATTGGCACAAAACTCACAACTGTACAGTTTTTAC